CGACATTTGCTCTCGAGGCCCAGATCAAGCCCAAATCAAAACCGAAACTCACTCTTTGTCTTGCCCTCTCCCACACCTACATCCCCATCCACATCTACGACCTCACCCTCACTCAGACTTGCGCCTACACCCTAAACTATTCGGGGAACAAGTGTCGTTGGGAAGCAAGTGTCCGGGGAGCACCATTCGTGTTACCCTGATTGGACACTTGGCCATAATCTGACTTTCTGTATGATAGACACATCCCCGGGTTAGCTAAATGAGGCGTTAGAGATATTTTATTTTTAATTCGTTCATTCTTCAAATGCCGAAAAGTATCTGTGACCTTTTGATCACAAAGTCATTCTTTCAAGTATCTTAAACTTAGTACATTCAATATAAAACATGATGATATTAGATGCAAAAATCTATTGAGGCAACATACTCTATTTAATGAAAGATCCATGTATTTTTATGTTAATCTCAATTATTTCACTTTAAAATTACAGAAAAATAGGAAGAAAATTCTAAATAAAATCTTAAAAAGAAATTTGTAACAATATCTTGTTCAATATGTGGCACAATTTTTTTTTTGTGTTTTTTATCGGTAAATTAAAAAATACATCTATAATAAATTGCATAAATAGTATTGAGAACAAATTTTGACCAATTTTGGTCTACCATTTTTTAATCGTATGTGACGTTGTACTTTCCGTGCATCGAAAATGATTAGTACGTCAAAGATAACTACAAAAACATAATATATGACTTAGATGAATTAAAAGATGACATGCATCTAGTTTACTGACTTATTTCAAACACGTATTAGTCAGATTTATTTCATAGCATTACAATGCAATTAGATAGATGAAAAATTATCATGTTTCCAAGAGCAATTTATAATGTACTCATTTGCGTAAGATATATAGTAGAACTATAAATGATTAATTGATCTATAATTATACAATATACGACAAACGTCTTTAATTTTTCAAGCAATATAAACAGAAATTTTACACAAGTATACAAAAGCATTCGTTAAACTAGTAATCCTAATTTATTGTATTTCAAATAGTCGCATTAACAAAACTGGTAATTAGATTGGCAGTAGATGATTTGTATTTGGATGTGGGTCTTCTCTTGATCCACACGCTGGACGAGCAAGTATTTAAGTGAACAACTGTACTATACCCTTTGCAAAGTAGTACGAAGAGTTGATTTGATGATCCAATAAATTTTCCTATAGAAAGTATACACATAGAAAAGGTGATATTTTTATTTTGAACCCATCAAATTGATGACAGACAATGAAATTTGTTTAACAATTGATTAAAACATATTTTTAATACAAAAAAAAAAAAAATTGCACTTTAATTTATATAATTTGATAAGTTTTTTGATTAATGGTTTGTCAATGAAAAAAAAAACAACAACAACATCATTATTCTTGAAATCGATTATGTCTGACTGATCCATTTAAATATAAATAACTACAATTGTAATGTCACTGTTCTAGATTCTCGAAATATTGTCGGTACAAGATCAGCTAATTGAAAAAATGTTTGATCAAGTAAATTCTAAAAATATAATTTAATATAATAATAGCTAAAAATAAAAAATGACATACTTTAGGTACAATAAGTTGAATAGTCGAACATCGATTAACACCCCATGTTGCCATTTCCATCATAAAACCTTTAAGACATTTTAATACTAATTCAGTTCGTTTCATAACCCAAGGAATAGTCATTTCCTATTGATTTCAATTAAAGATTTTATTATGAAAAGAAAAGAAAAGAAAAAATTGATAATTAATATTTACTTCAGTCATATCATGTGTAAGTAATAAAGGTAATGTTAATGTTATTATATCATGTTTACAACATTCTTTTAAAATATTTCGTAAACCAAATAGAGCAGCATGACGTGAAGTTATTTCTGATGATGAACGTAAAGCACTATCATTAACTACCAAATGATAAACAACATGTACTTCAGATAAATTTGAATGACGTGTTACATAAAAATCACCCACTGAACATAAATTTTGTTCCTATAAAAAATAAATTCATATGCAATAAAAATATAATAAAATAGAACTATGAGAAGGCTTAAATAAAATTACTTTTATGTTTTTATTACTCAGTGTGTCATGTTTAGAGATGTATGAGACTAGTTTCAGTCTCGCTCACCAAAGCTACATTCATCAGCTGAATTAATCAAAGTATGAATATTTAAGACTTCTTCTTCTTTTGATTTCTTTAACAAAGGAACCTCTCCAGATGTCGATTTGAATTTCAATGAAGACAATGTTCATTGGATGAATACGAAAAAAATTATAGAATGGTTTGTTTTTCTGGATCATCGCTTTTGAGATATAGAAATTTTACTAGATTTTTCAATAAAAAGTTGTAATCTCTGTTACTTAATGTGGAAAATCAACTTTCAAATTTTACTTTAGTCGAACATCTTGTAAGCAAGATCTTGACCAAGATATGGGTACACACTAAGATAAAACATGTTGCATGTGTCACGATTTGCGACACAATGTATGAGACATTCTCAAAGCGTGGTTCGAACCTATCATATAGTGTATTTATTATATTTTTTCTGTAAAAGCATGTTATGAAATTTTTTCAATTTATCTTTATTTTAATTATTTCTATTCCGAATAACTGAAGCAAATCAGATCTTGGGATCAGACTGACCTTGAGATGACTCGCACTCTATCAGACTGCTTCAAGGTCGTTCTTCCTCCATCATCGATCGAGATCAACACTCGAGAAATAGTTTTTAAAAAAAGTTATTTTTGAAAATGTATGTTCAATCACATTGTTTATATACGGCTCTGTATATATAAAAAAAATGATGAATGACTAGTCAGCATGTAAACATTGATGATGTCGCTTTTTTACTCAAGATCGTGTGAGAAGATAATAATAAACGATATCTTTTTCCATGATCTTCGGTACAGATTTATCCGATATAACCAAGATATTCACATACAAATTATCTTTTCAAGATCTTGCTTACAAGATGTTCGACTAGGGTAATTTCAAACTTGACACATATGGAAAACTCAACTAGACTAAATTTCATAAGACAAGTCACAAGTTTTGAACAAAATCTCTACGAGATACTAATCTTTAAAAAAGATGTATATTGTATACACACTGTCCATGGGAAGCGAGTTTTTCGAAAACCTGACATCTCTAGATAAAAATTCGATAACTCAGCAGAGATGTCCATCGCGGCGCTGCCGCGGTGGCGGGTAGCGGCGCGGGAGAAATTTGAAAATATCATCGTGGCAGCGGCAGGCTCCTTTTAGAAGATATTGCCAAAACTTCATGAATTTGCCAAAAATTGAGTGTCCACAAACGTAACACTCTAAGACTCAATGAATCTCATCGATTAGTGACAAGAATTGTA